GGCTCTATAAATGTGTGTGTCCACAGCTCCAGGCCACAGCACAGGCCACACTGCATCAAATGGCTTTTCTTAACAGAGCTCCTCACTGGCACTGCTCAAGGAGAAAACTGCTGTGGTGGGGTTTTTTTGGGTTTTTTTAATGCTAATTAATGTAAAACTAGTACAATTTATTTTTCACCTCCGTGAATACACGTTTTTAAATTATTATTAAAATTATATTTAACTTGCTATATTAAACAGAAAAAGAAAATTTAACACTAATTACTATTTTTAGATATTTTACTATGATTATAATAGAAACTTTTCACTATTATTTTATTTTAATTTTATGATTTAATACATACCTGTATTAATACATGTAATATATTATGATATAGTGTTTTACATTATGTTTTAATACATTGTTTTTACTCCTTTTAATTGATCCTATCTCACAACTTTTATTAATTTTTTTTTTTATTAAATGACGTTTTGATTTTAGTTTGAAACCGGGCAGAAACACTAATTACTGTAAGAGTTTAGATTTGTTAATTGTAATATATATTAAAATAATATAATATGTATTTTATTATATGTTTAATCTATTTCTTTTTTGTTGTGAGATAGGATTAGGAGTAAAAGCAAAGCAGGTTTAAATTTTAAAAATGGATGGCAGTGCCCTGAGTGTGGATGGGACACACAAAGCCACCCAAAGCAGAACCAGGGATCAGCAGCCAGGTCACTACCCCAGCCACCTTCAATTCACAATTTCCTTCTTTCTGCAAGTTTATTCAAGAAGATGGTACTTGATTTATAACCCTCTAAATGAGGGCAGCACTGAACAGAGAAAGTTTTAAAAATACCTCCTTTAAGAATGAAACATGTAAAATATTTGCAAAGGACAGCCCTGAAAGCAGCTCAGGGACAAAAGCAGCTGCAGCAGCAGGTTAGGAGGAGCAGAAATGTCGTTGAAGTGTCACAGCTTGTTTGTTTTACTTTCCTTATTCCCGTTCGAGTGCAGTGCCCTGGGTCACAGCTTGCTGAAGGGAGGCCAAACCCAGGATTTTAATACCACGTGGAGGAAGATTCCTACTCCCCTCCTCCCCAAATCAACACCATGCTGCTCCAAGGAACTTTCCTTCTGGGCAAAGGAACACACCGTGGCATTTAATCTATTTCATGCCAGCTCTGAGGCTGATTTGAAACTAAGTTGGATTCTGAATAAACATACAATTTATAATTGCTTTCACAAACAATGGGAATCACGTATTAGAACCCAATGAAAATGCAACTGTCCATACTTTATTTCACAGAGGCATAAATGGATTATCCAGATCTCCAGAGCCAGGGCAGAATGAACCCTTGGCTTCCAGGACCTCACTGGGAGCAGGCTCCAGATAAAGTGCACAGGACAGGACAGTTTATGTTTGTCTCACAAACACAGAGTGAGCAATAAATGCCCAATAAATACCCAATAAATGCCCACAGCCTCAGGCAGCCATCCCCACTGCTGAGGATGGCTGGGAGGGATGGAGGGAGGGCTGGGATGGAAGGATGGAGGGAGGGCTGGGATGGAAGGAGGGATGGAGGGAGGGCTGGGATGGGATGGAGGGATGGAGGGAGGGCTGGGGAGCTGCTGCCTCCCCACACGCACTCACATCTCCCCCACGGCTCACAATCACACTCACACTCCCCACTGCTGATCCAGGGGACTTTGTGTCACAGGCAAACAGCAAAAGCCTCACCAAAACACCATCACAGCACTGCACTGCAGCACAGCCACACAAAACTCTGAAAGCAAAACTTCTACCTTCAATCCCAAGAACGTTTTGCTTCTTGTTTTCTTCTGACACTTCAAACTTCTGTATGATGTCCAGACAATATTCTGGTGTCACATTATTCATCTGCACAAAAATAACAGTGGAGGTACACTTAGTTTAAATGTCACCAGCATGTGAAAATCTACTTAACTTGGAGGAGACAAATAGGAGTGAGAGGTAGCCATCAATTAAAACCTATGTCATTTTAGTCTGAAAATTAAAATTAGCTTAGCAGCTTTAATAGTTGTACTGGCCAATACTGCTGAAATGAGAACTGTGACATTATATTCTTTAATATAATCTTCTTAGACATGCAAAAAGATTTGGCAGGCTTGGATTTCATTTTCATGTGTTTTCCACTCCTATGATTTCATTACTTCCAAGGGAGTTCACTATGATACACAGGCTAGGAGAGAAATAATTAAATTCTGAAATGAAAAACAGCAGCTTTTCTGAAACAAATAGGAATTTTGTCAACAGCTTCAGCTGGCCCACAGCTGAGGTTCTAACTGATTTGTGGGGCACTTACAAGCTGGCACTTACATTTCCTTCAGAGCTAAAGGAAAGAAGTGGCTCCCATCACTCATCTCATCTTTCCTCACTGCCTCGAGTTGGAGAGAAGCAAAGGGAGAACAAGGACTGGGTGGATTTCATTTCTCCATTACCAACATCCCAGGAACACAGTGCTGGCACTCAGACCTCTGGCACTTTATTTGTGCCATCATCCTGGACACTGTTTGTACTGTCCCAGCTAAGCTACCGTCCTAAGATGCTGCAGGAATTACACAGGATAACAGAAAAAACAACAATTCAGTAGAAAAAAATAACTGATTATCCTTGCTCAGATTGGTGTTTGATTGCAAACACTGCTCAGAGCAGGCCCTGTTCTGGTACAAGCTGCCTCAAATTAACTTTTCCATTATCCCCCGTGGCTCCTTGCTGGCCCAGTGTGGGATTCTCATGTGCTCTAGGAATGGAAATGTCTAATCTGATCCAAAGCTGCATCTGCTGGAGATAAATCCATTCATTTGTGCTTTTTTAATTGTAGCTTGAGAGGTGGTAACTTTGGCCACTCATTTTTTTTGTTACATTTTAAAGTACTCCACTAAAAATAATATGGGGTGTTCTCCTAAAAAAGAAGCCAGTGTAACAAGCTAACAAAACCCCAACCCTCTTTTGTTCTGTCCTCAGGCAGAGGAATATTTCACATCTTGCCAAATGAGCAGCAGATGGAGCAGAACAGACTGTCCACAGATTTCCAAGCATCCAGACAACAACAAAAGCAAAATGCTCTTTGGGTGAGGGCACTGGGCAGCAGGATCAGCTTTTGGGGCAATGCTGCCCTGTCCAAAGGTACTGGGGACACTGGGAAGGGCACAGGAGTGCAGGGTGCCTCCAACCTGCCCAGCCAAGAGTTTCACCTCCAGGAGCTCCTGGTCCCACTCTTCTTCTGTTTGCTGCTGGAGCAATGGTGAGCAGAGCAGCTCTGGCCACACAGTGCTCTCAGGAGGGCACACAGAGCACAGGCAGGATGCAGAATGGCAGAGCTGACAGTCAGCTCCAGGCTCCTGCTGCATCCTGTGCACCCCAAAGGCAGCTCCCCCATCTCTGCCACGTGTTCCTCTTCCTGCTCTGGAGCCCTGAGCATCCTCTCACACCACTATCCTTCAAAAATCACTTCAAAAACCATCCAAAGCAGCTCAAACTCTTTCTAGAAGCAGTTGAGAAAACAATATCTGTCACATCTGTGCTTTACCCTCCATCCCAAGTTGATATTTTCTGTAAAATCCTTTCCCTACACTTGAATGCAAGTACATGGCCCTAGACATGGATGCAGACATTGCCATACCTTCTGCTCCACCCTCAGGAACTGAGCCAGCTCCTCAACAGTGAGATGATCCTTCTTGTCACTGTAGCTCAGGAGCAGCAGGTAGAGGTCCCGACGCAAGGACATCATCTTGTAAAACACTGAGAATTCCTCAAAGTTCAGGGTTCCTTGGTTCTCATCTGTGTCTGCCTCCTAAGGGGTAACAACACTCAGGGAAACAGGCTCAGCACAGGAGAAATCAGGGAATGAAACAGAGCAGGACCCGTGTACATCAACAGAAATGTGGTAAATCCCAGTCTGCAGGACTGTTCAGACACAAATTCTAACAGGCTAAAATAACTGCAAAACTACATCATAATCTCTGAGGTTTTTGGTGAAAACAGTTACTAAACTAAAGCCACAGATTCTTTATGAAACTCTAATTTCCTTCTTTAATTTCAAATTTATTTCCCCCAGAAAGAGGCTCACCCTGGGCTTTATTCTGATCTCTTGCCCTCCTGTATGCCCTGCAGTTATCCTGGATCAAAACACAGCAAGAGGCATAACAGCATCACCCAAGGCTTCCCCAACAACAGCCTGACATCTTAAAACATTCAGGACAAGATCAGAGACTTAAATGCACATTTTTTAATCTGCAGCACTCTGCAGAGGGGACAACTCTGCAGCAGCACTGAGACTCCTCACCAAAATATCCACCCAGCATCTCCAGTCTTGGTTTGCTGTTTCTCCTCAGAGGTAGGAAGAGAAGAAAACAGTACTTAGCACACACTAATACAAGCTTTTTCCTGTGAACATCTGCCTAAGAGGATTGCTTTGGATTTGCAAAACAAAGAATATATTCTGGAGAACGTCTGTGTGGGTCTCCATGCAAAAAACAACTGTAAGCTGCTATCACAGCAAGGCAGCTGAGAGGAAAAGAATTCTCAGCTAAATGGTGTTGCATGGGATTTTTAATCATTTTATATCTATTACATACCTTAAATGATATTTATAATCTGTGGGAACAAGTACAACCCAAATTAATCTCACCACCCCATCAGTTTCCAGGTCTTTGGGAGTAACTCCAGACTCCAAAGATGATCTCTAATGGGGATTTTATGCCAGAAAAATAAAGCATTTCTGACCACAGAAGATTCTTCAACTTTCCCATGTTTTACAGCAAACCAGCTTTGAGCTGGTACTGGTTTAGAAAAGTGAAGATGACATTTTTTGCTCTCCATTATGTGCTTGGCTTATCTTTCCTTTCCTGCAGTAAACACAGGGACTGGTAGAAAATGGGAGCTGTTTTCAGAAAACAGAAGTAAAAAATTGATTCTAAATCGATCAAATATGAATGGCTAAATATTGAGGAAGTTGTTAAAGAAAACCTAATTACTTTCATAAAGCCAGTTTCTATTAAATAATTTTCCATGAAGGAAACGAAAAAAAATTTCACTAGCAACAGAGTAACTTCATTGTGCATCAATAGCAGTATTGCTCATCATCTATCCATCAGTCATTTCAACTGATTCACAGAATTAATTTCAACTGATTCACTGAACAATTCAGTTCACAGAGCTGAAACCAGCAGTGCAGCAGAAAGAGTAACTCTGGTAACTTTTCTGTGTGCCTCGTGCCATTTAAACAATGTTCTGACGCCTCTTTGGCTACTAAAAGGTTACAAAAAAACTGTTTGGAAAAGCCTGTGAGGTGCTGGGTTTTTAGTCCCAAGCTGCAGATGCTTCCTTGGATCTGCCCAGCAATGGACCTGGGCTGGCCCCTGGTCCCCTGGCACACACCTGGAACATCTGGCGGACCTTCCTGCGGGGCAGGCTCACGTTCAGCTTGTGCATCAGCTGGTGGATCTCCTCGATGTTGAGCAGCCCATCCCCGTTCTTGTCAGCCTCCTCGAAGGTCTGCTTCACCCAGCTGCCAGCGTGTCAAGGACGGGCACACAGGGATGTCCTCACGGGGAAGGGAGGCAGGGCAGCTCAGCAAAGGATCCCTGCCCTTACTACAGCTCAGTCAAATGCTCAAAACCACAACTGGGTCGTGGCAATTATTCACAGCTCATTCACAACCCCAGCCCCTCCACACTCCCATTTCTGAGGCTGCTTCCTCCTCTGAGAACGTGCTCTAAATTTTTCAAATATTGCTGGGCTTACTCTGGGATCTTCTTCCACCTGTCCCTTCATTCTCCCAGCCAGCACCTTTCCCCCTTCCTTGCACAAATATCCCTCAGCACCTCCTGCTAAGTTCTTGCAGTGGCTGGGAGTGGGACAGGGCCATTCTGTGTGCAGTCTCTCAGCTGCCACATTGGATAAAACAAACAGGACTTGCAGTGATGTTTCACCAGGAGAGAAGATACAGCAGGCAGGAGCACTCAGAAAAGTCATGGTTAAATTTAGCAAGCTGAGGACAGGTGCAACAGAGCATGCAATACAACCCCAATGGACCTGTGCCTGCTGTGGATCAGAATCAAACACGGGAGATATAAATTAAAAATACCTGAAATATGTGTATGCTCCAGGAGTACCACTGGAGATTTCCATGAGGCAGAAGAACAGACAGGTTACAACTTTAATTAAAATGGTCTTGGGGTTTGGTTTCTGGGGGAAGAGTGCTCTTTGGAGGAGTTTAGTGAGCTATTGAGATAACTAGAAATAACTGGTCTGCCCCTTCAAAAAGGAATTCATTAAGAAAATGTAAGCCTATCCCCTTTATCCCACGCAGCTTGATCCAGTCCCCAAGGCACAGCCCATGGTTTATACACACACGAGTGTCCATGTCAAACCCACTGCACCCAGGGGAAGGGGTTTGCTCACTGAGCAGGAGGAGAAAGGACACGCCGTGTCCTGGGAACAGCAAGGCAGGACCGGGAAGCAGGAGCAAGGCGTGGCTCCTCAAAGGATACTGCTCGTGTGTCCTCTGGCGCTTGGCCAGCGAGTCCTCGTCGCTGATCCCGGCCAGGAGGTATTTGAGCCCCGTGATCCAGGTGCGAGCCTCCTCGGGGTTGGACGTGATGAGGTCCAGGCTCTCCAGGTGGCTGCCGTGGTAAATGGTGAAGCAGCAGCTGGGGTCAAAGCTGCCCTCGGCGTGGCGGTGGAAGATCTCCGACTGGCGGCCCTCGCTGACTTTGTAAATGGAGTCGATGACAACTGGGGGAAAGGGAAAGCAGGGACACGCTGGGACAGCCAGCCAGCCTCGTCCAGCTCCTCACAGTCCTGACTTATTCGGGCCCAGAGGCGTGAAACTTTTCTACATCTTCACATCCCAAAGCCCTGTTGCACTGAAGGTTTCCCTGCCACGCCCGTGCCGTGTGCTGGCTGCCCCAGGGGCTCCGAGCACTCCCCAGAACATCACAGCGCTGGGGCTACAGGCAGGGAGCAGGGGAGACACACACACCAAGCTGTCCCTTCAGCCCGTGAGCCCCTGCAGCTCTGTAATTCACACTGCAATACTCAAGTGCCCCATTTTTAGCAGAAATATGAGGAGTTTACTTTTTGCCTTCTCGCTCTTCCGGGAGGGCCTCCAGCGGATGCAGGTCCTGTGCTCGTCCAGGTAGAAGAGACGGACCAGCCCCTTGGTCCCACTCTTGAGCTTCACCATCTGCGTCCCAGACTGCATCACACTCATGCATCTTTCAACTGTGAGGCAGAGCACAAGAAATTCAACTGAAGGCCACCTCATGCACTAATGACAAGACTAATGGGCTGCCCAGCATCTGCCAGGCACACACCAGCTCTGGCTGGAACCTCGAATGCCAGCAAGTGGGCAGTGCTGGGACACTCTTCCTCCTTCACTGCCACCTTCTCCACACGGGAAAATGGAACAGCTCGTCTGTCTGAGCACCCTCACCACAAAGGAGGCAAAGAAAACTTTAATTTGTGTTGAAGGAAAACGTTTTATAGTTGTTTCATGCTCATCTTATTTACATTTTTTTCTATTAGTACGCACAGTGCTGTAATTTTAAACCCCAGCATTGCATGTATTTGGACTGGTGAGATCCTCATTCAAACCCTGCAGTCCTTTGGGCTCAGCAGCCCTGGAGTTTGTCCCTCACGCTGTGGCACTGGCAGAGCTGCTCACAGAATGACACAGACACATTCACACCCTCTCCACGCTGCCACCAACCTTTGAACACACACTGGGATGATTTCCTTTTATCCACCCATCCCATCCGGATGATAAGGCTTTTTCCTCCTCTGTGTTTTGACTAAAATAAACCCATTTCTTCCATTTCATCTCACATCCTCCTCCCTGCAGCCTTCCAAACACAAGGATCAAGATAACATTTCCCCTTGATCTCAGTATATATCATGTTCTTGAATTACCTTCTGGTTTTATCTATTCACAGGCTCTCCTCACTTGGTATCACTCCAAATTCATCTCCCTGGGTGATTTGTTTACACTCTGGCTGGCTCCCAAATAAACTCTCTGGGTCTGTCTTTATTTCTTATCACCCTTCCTCTCTCCAGCACTTCTCTCTCCAGTGCTCCTCAGTGTCACAGCAAAGACTAACCCACTCCCACTGCTCTCTGCCAGAGCTGGGATTTAGTTATTCTCCCAACAGCTCTGACACACTCACAGCAGTCAGAGCAGCACCTAAACATGGGGCAAACCAGGGAGGAGCAGCCCCTGGCACTGGAATAACCTCCCCTGGCTCCCTCACTCACCAGGAGCTGGCAAGGCAAAGCCCACACGGAATAAACCCCATCAGAAGGAGACTTTTTCCTGAGTTCTCTTTCTTGGAGGAAGGAGGTTGAGCTGAACAGAACCAAAACATGAGTGCAATAAATGTGTCCTTTATTATGTCCATAAATAATGGCACCCCCTGGATCAGCACACACACTGAATGAAGGCGAGTTTGGAAAGGTTTTAAGATAAACCCCAAATGTGACACAAATCGAGCCAGGAGGAGATGTTAGACCATATCCACATGTTGGCTGGGGCAGCATTAACTTGGATCTATCTGAAGATGCACAAAGTACCAGGAAGACAAACATTTACAGCACAAGGGATGGGAAACTCAGAACCTGAGAGAAGGCAGATGAACTGAAGCAAAAATAGTCTCGAAGTCCCTATGAACATCCACACAGGAATGCCTTTTCTTGGCAGACACAGCCTTTCCCTGTGCAGCTGGGTTTAGATCAGGCTTGCCCTGGATTCCTACCAAGACAAACACAACTTGTCCCAGCACAGAAATGAAGTTCTCCCCGTGAGTGTGGACACACAAACGTGCCCTGCCCCATCAGCCTGGCACACACACCACAAACACCTTTTCATTTCACTAACAGAGATCACTTCCAGCAGGGCTTTAGCTCAGTAAGAGGTTTAGCAACAAGCCACTCAACACAGAAAATCTGCTTCTTTGCACCTAAGGCTAGCGGTGACTGGTGAAAGTCTTACTAAAAGAACTAATTCTCAAATAAGTCTGTCTATTAGCACCAGCTCAGTTTTCAGAGAAAAAATCCCAGCCTAGTTTCACTAAGGCATTGAGGACAGCCAGCAAAAGGCAGAAGGGAGAAGACCACATTAATTCAATATAAGAAAAGCAGAGAATGGGCCACAGTCAGGTAACTGCAGCCAACAAAACTGTGGGGGAAATAAAAACCATGAAAGGCAATCCAGTTCCTTCTTCAGCATTTCAATTGCCTAAACATTTCTACATCACGTTTGGAATCCTTATAGGTGCAGTCACATTCATGCTTCAGGCAGACTTCAGTTATAGGGAATACATTTTAAAACATTTTCTTTCACAAAGTGGAAGAAATCCAGTTCCTGCCCAGTATCTCAACAGCCTCCACCTCCCAAACCCCACCTGCAGCAGGTCCAGTGCCCCAGGGAGCACCATCATTGCTGCCTGGCCTTTCCCAATTCCAAGGAAATGCCATGAGAATTCAAACACTGAAAGAATAGTGAAGGTGTAAGAGAGTTCACGGCATCATTCCCGCTGTGTAGGTGTTAATAACAACGGCTCCACGTTCACGGAGGGACTGGGGTAATGGAAATGCCACAGCAATCACGGGCACACTGGATTTCAGCTCTGCAAACCATTTACAAAACACCCCATCCTCCCCTTCAGGCTATTTATAAAATATAAGCATGCAAATAAAAAAGGTCTTTTTCAAATCTATTCTCAGTATGCTAATGCCGGTCCCTTGCCAGACACCACACATTAGCATCTGAATCAGGGAAGGTATTGAGCAGTGCAGGGCACAATAAAGCTCCAGAAGAGCAGTTCAGGAGGGATTTCACTCAGGAATTGGGAAGCTGGTTCCAGAAAAACATCTAATCCTATAGATAAACCAAGAATACAGAGCAAACGAAGCAGCTCCTCAGTGCAGACATAGATTAAAATCTGAGGAAGCAAGACATGATTCCCATTAAAAGATATTCTTCTAACACAAGGACTAGCTGTGCATTTTCTGCTCAAAGTGAAAACTAATTAAGTTAAACTACAACATGATGTCGTTTATGTTACAAGATCAGAAAAAATTAATCTGGAAGTTTAAATAAAAAATTAGGCTTATGCAATGGAAAAGGAAGGTGTCCCTGCCCATGGCAGGGGGTTGGAACTGGATGGTATTTAAGGTCTCTTCCAACCCAAACCCTTCCATGATTCAATGATATTTGAAGCTTTAATTTAAAATTAAAAACCTCCGAAAAGTAAACTCACTTCTGTTTCTAGAGTTATGCAAACTTGACAGCCTAAAATCATCCCAGCAGACATCCTGGAGTTTAATGTGATTTAATAATGAAAGACCAGTCTACTTCTTTTCCTCCCAAAACAACCCTTTAAAGCAGTACAGACCTGAATCCAAACAGCACCTTTTGATTTAGCTGAGCCATGAGAGGCACTCCTGACACAAACCTCTGCTCAGGGAGAGGAGCCAGGGGGGGAGTGGGTACAAACCCCTCTGTGCCAGCTCCACCTTCCCTGGGCCGGCCACGCTGCCCAGGACATGGGCAACCTCCGGGGCCAGGAGGAGAGCCATGGAGCCCGGGGTGTCCCCGAGCCCTGGGGTGCCCCCGAGCCCTGGGGTGCCCCCGAGATGTCCAGAAGCCCCGGGATGTTCATGAGCCCCAAGGTGCTCCCAAGCCCCGCAACGTCTGGGAGTCTTGGGATGTCCCCAAACCCTGGGATGCCCCTGAGCCCCAAGGTGGCCCTGAGTCCCAGACTGTCCCCAAGCCCTGCAATGCCCCCAAACCCTGAGATGTCCCTGAGCCCCGGGATGTCTCCAAGCCCGGGGATGTCCCCGAGCCCCTGCAATGTCCCAAAGCCTTGGGGTGTCCCCGAGCCCCGGGATGCCCGGCAGATGCCGAGGGTCCCTGTGAGCCCCGGGATGTCCCCAAGCCCCGGGGATGCCCGGCAAATGCCGAGGGTCCCTGTGAGCCCGGTAGCAGCTCCAGCAGCCCTAATCTCCCCCCATCAGCCCGTGGTTGCCTCCATCCCCTCTCTAATCCATCCCCGTGCCCTCGGGTTTAATAACCAGGAATGGCTCAGCACCAGCCCCTGGATCCCGGCAAAACCTCCCTGCATCCCGTGAGCTGGAATTGCTAAGGTTTAATTTAGTCTAATTCCCAGCATTAAGTCACAGTGGTGAGTGCACATCTGCCTCCTCTCGTGCTTCACCACAAAGACTGCAGGACTGTGCAGTCCATACCAGAAGGAAATTATTTAGGGAATTAAGAATTACACTGAGCAGCATTTTCAGGGAAACAGAAGAGTATTCTGCTATATGGGGCACATCCCTACAGTGAAACAAACATCCTCTCCCATAAAGCATGTTCTCTAAGGTTAAATAAATATCCTGGCCGTTTTTTGCTACTTCATTTTGAGGTTTAGTTATTCAAGAAAACACTATTATCTTTGCATTAGCAGCAAAACTCTACTGCCAAGAGTCTACAGCAAAAGGTTACAGCACTGTTGTGAGACAGATAATTTTTTAAATCAAAGATCAAAACAAATTTCTTACTGCTGTCCACAGGCAGTTTTTTTATTTTCCTGTATGTTAAGAAATTAATATTTCAAAGTGCAACCAAATGACAAAAGGTCTGGTCTCATCTTGCTTTTATGGACTTACTGTTACAGCCATCTGACAAAACAAAAAGATTAAATAAGGTATAAAGAGCATTACCAAACACTGAGAAGTATAATTATGAAAGAGGATATAAACTGGGTTTCTAAATGATAGGCATCAACTGCATTAAGCCAACATTAAGCTTGAAGAGATAAAAGGAACCTATAAAATACAGAAGTTACTTTTATATCTGCAGCAGCAGCTCTTCTCCCCTGCACTCAGTGTTTTGGGGTTTACTCTGTATTTTGTGAAGGGTTGTGGAGCCCTGGCACAGCTGCCCAGGGCAGTGGTGGGGTCACTGCCCCTGGAAACATTCCAAAAACGAGTGGATGTGGCTCCTGAGGACCCAGCTCAGTGGTGAACACTGTGGTGGTGCTGGGCTGATGCCTGGACTTCACGATCTGAAAGGTCCTTTCCAAAAAAGCCCCCACTGCAGCCGAGCCCAGCACACAACTGAACTGTCCTGGTCCCAGCAGTGAAAATATTCTGCATCCAACCAAACCCCAAAGCAAAGCCAGAACCCCCCAATGTTCTCAGCTGTCTGCACTCTCCTCATCCCCCTG